AACATTTTGTCATCACCATTGTTTTGCAGAATTAAAAAAAAAGCGTTCAATTTATTTTTTATATGATTCAATAGCTATATATCTATTTCACTGATTGATTGATTGGTTGAAGCTAAGAATTCAAAGTTCGTTCTTGACGTATATAAAATGGCGAATAAATACTTATTTTCCGTGCATGATGTATTCTATCAAAGTCGAACGTCAAAACTTTATTGTTCAATTTCTTATTGATATATATATATATATATATGTGTATGTGTGTGTGTGTGTGTGTGTGTGTGTGTGTGTTTGTGTTTATTTTTTTAAATAAAATTTTTCGCTACACAATAATTACTATGTTTTAAAAAAAATTTAAAAACTTCCAATTCAATTATAATAAATTACATTAAAATATCTAGTTCTGTTCAATTTTCAAGCGAACTTTGGAATCAAATAATTCAGTTGAAATTAACAAAAAAAAAAAATTTCTAATTGTTTATAATAAAATATATTTATTTAAATAATTCGAAATTGTCGAAAAAAATAAAAAAAAAATAGTTTAAATATATTTTCACACACACATGCACATATATATATATTTTATATATATATATATATATATATATATATATATATATATATATATATATATAACATTCAATATTTAAAATATTATTGGGCAATATTTAATAATCAGTTTGTTTGAAATAATATTAAATGGGCTTTCCGGAATTTTTTTGTTTGGAGTTTGAATTTTAAAATTTTATTTTGGCCCAAATCTGGCATCTAATCTTTTCTTTTAACAAAATTTCCACAGACCCGCCGTTCCCTCTCTCTTCTTTTAAAATATTTTTTTTGGTAATTGCTTTAATTTTGAAAATCATTAACAAAAAAAAATTCATGAATTCAAATCGCCATCATTATTTGGCATTTCTTTTCACCCTTTCACTGTTGAAAATTAATTTATTTTTTAATCTTCTACTCCAATAGCTTCATATCTCGAACCTCTCTCCTGGAACTCCCTTCCTTATTCCTGTTTCCCTGAGGCTATAATCTCCAAAAATAAATATTCAAAATGTAATGTCAATCGACATCTACAGTTGACTTTTATCTATCCTATCCTTCTCTTCATCCTTTCCTCTATCACTCCTATCTGATTTTGCCCCAAATCTTCTGTAACCCCATTCTCCCTAATGGCTTCCCGCCTTGGTTGAATTGTCAAACGCTTCCTTGCTGCCATTTGATCTGGGTTTTTTTTTTGGCTGCAAATTTGGATCTTTTGATTGCTGTCTGGGCCGTATTTTATATATATAACAATAAACGACAGAAGAACTCAAAATTGATCGCTGCATTTACGTATTGCATTAATATTGAAATTTAAATTTTTAAAATTCAGAGATAATTCTTTTAGTCTGTCATAACATATAATTTAAAAATGAAATTTGATGTGCTGGGTCCTTATTTCCCTAAGACAAACAATTATTTTTATTTCATTGGTGACTTTCGCTAGAATTTCGAAATTAATTTTGATTATTCCCAAATTTATTTCCAAATTATAAAAATTGTTCTAATAAAAAATTCGTCTAAAAAAAAAAAAATCACGTAAAAATTTGGAAAAACAATTTTATCATAATGAAAAAATTGAGAATCCAAACTTTCTGTAATATGAGCTATTGAAAGATAAAGAATTGTGTCCCTTTAATTGAAAATGTGTGACACACTGACATTCGCATTTAATATATAGAAGATATACGATAGGAGTGGCTTCCTGAAAGATTTTAAAAAATAGAAAGAAGCCAATTCGAATACCAGCCGGTTTCAACACACGAAGGCTCGGAATAAACGCTCCTACTAGTATTCAGAACTACGGACAAAATATATCTCAAAAAATCAAAATATAAAAACAAACTAACAACACCAAAAAAAAACAGAAAAAACTTTAAATGGCGAACGAAGTGTCCGAATGCTCTTGGGACAATGGACGCCCTTACCAAATGGAAAATATAGGAACGCTATTCCAAGCCTACGCATGTCGAGCACGACTGGAATTCGAGTGAGCATGAGCATCTTTGTATTTTTTAAAAAAACTTTCAACATGCCACTCCCATTGTTACACAAGGTGAGGTTGATAGTAGACGAGAGACATTTGTATAAAGGGCCTCTCGTATAGCGAGATGTTATACTGGAACACACCTATTCTATAGTTAATAGACTCTCCCACCTATAATAAGAAGGAGTAGTAGTAGCAGTCGCTCAGGGGGTTGGTCAGTCAGTCGATGTCGGACGACCGTTAGTCGGATATTAAAGTATCAGCGACCACAACTAGATTACTGCGTCGTTACCTATATCAAGTTCCTAACGTTTTGTACATCGAACCTATTTTAGGACCGACTTAGTACAAATACAAGCCTCCACTGTGAAACCACTACATAACACGAGATATTTTCAGTAATTTGATTTACATTTTAGTATTTCCGACCAGAAATTTTATTAAGGATTCCTGTAGATTAAGGGTTTACAT